GTTTCTGCTTTTTTGTCTGGTCACTGGTTTGATGTTTATTACCTACTCTTTCAAAATGGTACTGTTTTTCTGTTTGAGCTAAATATTGATTACTCATTTCTTATTTTTCCACGCTTTTACTCTTTCTAAGAAATTGCTCATTATAATGCACAGCAACTACCTTCGCACAACAGGATTTATTTGTTTGCAATTTAGTCTGATGAATGGAGCTAGTATTAGCACTTGTGTTTTGGTGTATGTCCCATGAATCTTGAAACATATTTTAATGGACACACACTGAGATCCTTTCCATTTCAACTGGAATGACTTTTGGGCCCCATGTCTCAGGACTTGCCACAGATCAAACATAAAGTAAACAAAAATCGCCAAAGAGACATCAGCAGTAAAATTCTGATAAATAAACAGCAGAGTGAGATAGTAATGAAAAAAACAGATTGACTGTTTCAGCTAAGGCTGCTTTTGTTGGCACTACACTGGATCAGTACGATTTTTAAAAATCATGCTGATTTTATATTTTGTTCAAGAATTTTTCTTTGGATACATAAAAGTGAACTGAACACTTGTGCTTGCTATTCAGAATGGTGGCAACATGTTTTTTCATAACATGTTTGTAAAGCTACAGCTTTGTTGCTTTACAGAAATACCTGAGGTGGAATACACTTGTTAGAGTCACCTTCCTCATATTGCACCAGATTCTCATGTGATTTGTTGAAGTGTAGGTCTGATCCAGTACTTCTGCCATGAATGATAATGCATTAGGCATTTAGCATCATAAATGTTGATGATTCTTTTGATCAGTAACTGTCAGTGTAACTCTTCTGAAAACATGCCCTTAGCGAACCTCCACACAGTTCAAAGTATCAAAAAATACCATGTCCGATTCCCTTGTGTGTTTTTGTTTTTCCTTTCATACCATCTGAGGGCCAACCAATTTTGGAGCTGTAATGAATCTTACATCTATTCCCTTTTGCTTATGCTTTTATGGCATTAAGACTTGCCCATAAACCAATGAGAAAAAAAAAAGAGAGAAAAAAAATTATTGATTTTCTGAATCATCAAGAGATGATTCCTCTCTTTTTTGTCTTTTCAGTCATTAAGTACTATATAAATTACTTATACATTAGTATAATAATCATCTCATTCTATAGTTAATAAGAACCAGTAAAACACACATTGTTTTAGAAATAAATACAATTCTACAGAGTTTACACTATATAAGGAAGATATTTTCCATTTTTTTATTGTTATGATTGTCTCCAGATACAATTATAAACTTGTGGTATTCTCTTAAATAAGTCTTCATTACATTCCTTTGCAAATATTTCTAGTGAGCTCATCTACATTTGTGCTGGCATTTAGGTTCCAAAGAGTGCTAAACAAATCAGGCTGCCTAGTGTTTAAGCTTCACAGACTTTGAACAGAGGTAAGAACAATTTGAGCAACAGACTCTCTAGAAGAGGCAGTCTGAGTATGGTCGTAAGCATATTAGGGACCAGTACTAATACTAAAGCAGAAGGTGGTCCCTGCTTCAAAGTATATTTAAGCAAGCTATTGCATAAGAGCCAAAAAAATAGAAGTAGATACACTGGATAGAAGTTGAAGCAGCAAAACCAATGAGACTATACTCATCCACATCACACATACTGCTCCAGTCCACCAGTTCTAACACCAGAAATACTGAAAAATTGTTTAAATTTTGGGAGAAAACCTTAATTTACTTGAAATAGATTGAGAAATATTAGACTATTTATGAAGTCGAAGTAATAAAAAGGATCAAGTTTAACTACAACAGTTGCTGAAATCTCCAACAAATTCTCAAGTCAGAAAGACTTTCTCGTAGGTTTGCTGTGCCGTGAGATGTATAGTCACCTTATGTTTGGTCTGCTGAAGTTTTAGAAGTTCTGCATTGTGACTGCATTGCAAGTTGATTTGTGCTTGCAGTGCAAAAAAAAAGAACATCCAACAAAGCATCCTGAATGAAGGTATGTGCTGTAAAGTGACAGATCATTAACTTTTTGAAAAAAATCCCTCACAATTCATTGATTCTGCTGTTATAAAATAGATTTTTTGAAGATATAGTATTCAAGTGTGACATTGTGATAATTTTTTTGTCATAATATATGGAGGAGAATTTGATTGCAAATTTTTTGCAGATGGGAGCTGCACGTCTTGGCCGCCAAACAAACACATCTAACACTGTAGAAAATGTTACAATTTTTTTCTTTCTACAGAGTTTAATCTCTAGCATTACAAAAATACAGTTATTAATTGACATAGTCTTCTGTTTTGTTTTGTTTTGTTTTGTACGGTGGATTGACCTTGGCTGGATGCCAGGTGCCCACCAAGCCACTCTACCACTTCCCTTCCCAGATGGACAGGGGAGAGAGAATAAGATGGAAAATGACTCATAGGTTGAGATAAGGCAGTTTAATAAAGAAAAACAGAAGTTTGCACATGCACAAGCGAAGAGGAAAAAAAAAGTAGATTTATTCTCTACTTCCCATCAGCAAGTGTCCATCCACTTCCCAGAAAGCAGGGCTTTAGCAAGCATAGTGGTTGCTCTGGAAGGGAAACACCATAACTGATGAATGCCCCCTTTTCCTTCTCCTTGCCTTAGCTTTTATATCTGAGCTGATGTCATATAGTATGGAATATCCTTTTGGTCAGTTTGGGTCAGTTGGCCTAACTGTTCCCTTACCAGGATCTTGTACACTCCCAGCCCCTTGATGGGGAGGGAATGTTGGGGAGACAGTGCTGATGTTGTGCCAGCCCCGCTCAGCAGCAGTCAAAACACTGGTGCCTTATCAACTCCCTTCTAGCTACTAACGCAAATCACAACACTGAGGGAAAATGAACTCCATCTCAGGCAGATCCAATATATTTTGACTTCAAAACAAAGAATCTAGCTTGCAATTTGAGAAATAAAATTGCCAAATGGATTGATTTACAATAGTATTATAGAAGAAAAGGAACACTTATGCCTTTCAATAATGCTACTAGTTTTTTATTTCTTTTAGTGAATGCAACCTGATTTTAAGGTATGTTACATTTTTAACAGAAAAGAAAATGATAGCACATTTGTATTTTTCCCTTCATCCCAGATATATCAGTCCATATACTGGATCTGATTTGTTGTTTTCAGAACATATAACCACCTCATATTCTTTCAAGTAAATGCAGTCAACCTATATGTAGAAAAATGCTTTCATTGTTCTGGAAGATGTTAACTTTCATTATCTTGAAACAATGAGTATAGGAGTACAGAATCATAAAATGATATTTATTAAGTAGGGGAGGTCAGGTTTCTTACTCTTTATATGTGAGGAAAAGTTAGTTTGAAACTGTATTTTGATTGCACTGTCACTTCTCATTTGAAGTGACACAGCCTTCTAATATATATATATATATAAGTTTAAAATGTTGCAAAATAAAACCTGTAATTTCCTGAGTAACACAACATTTAGAATGTCCTATATATACACTTAAAAATCCATCCAAATGGAGCAGTTAATCCTGTTTATGGTTTTGTGAAAGTGTATGAGTCTAGGCTTCTGGTAAAGCTCAGGGAGGTGACGCTAAAAGGAAGCAAAATTTTATGTTGGGTTTATTTCTTCAATTTATTTTGGTCTAAGCTGAATAGACAGTACAAATAAACAGGTTAGATAAAAGATTATCCTTATTTCCCTGGGAGCCAGAAATTTGGTGGAAATTTTGTGCCGGAAAATGTTGACGTGCTATTTCAGAAATTACTATTGGTGTGTGTATGCTCACTGACATTGAAATTTCTACCTGTTGCCCATTTCTGCTATTTGTAGAATTAAACTTGACAAGAACAGCGATCTCACTAAGCAGTACCTTGGGATCGTGTGTCTCTAGTTAAATCCTGACTCCATGGTAGACCAACTAAGACCTCTGGCGTGGCTAAGTGCACCCATGCTATTAGTGCTGGGACTCTGGCACTCCAGCCCTGGGAGAGCTTGGATAGGCAGAGTCGGAAACCTCTGTATCCTGGTCTTGAAGCAGCCTATATGGAGCTCTGTCTGAAAAGCACCAGAGTAAGAATGGGAGAGAAGGGACATCAAGATCTCCAGTTCTGTAACCTGAGTACAGACAGCTCACCAGCTCTGCTGGGAGCTCTGGCTACCAGAAGATGGCTTGGGAATGGGAAAACTGAAGGCACCATACTGTTATGTCAGTGCAGTGCAGATCTGTCTGAACACCTGGGATACTGAGGCAGTCCAGGAAACTAGGAAAACTGCCTTGCCCTGTGTCAACTTCTGACAAAGCATGCAAGGCTAAGTAACGTTTTCCCATTAAATTAATTTAATCAGAAAACAGCTTATCAGCTGTAATTATTACATCAAAAAAGACCTTTTATGGAATGGAGAAGCACCGAGGTCTAGTCAACAAAGCATACGTGTTGTATTACTGAACAGTGCAGTTCTCAACATTTAGGGTAACAACTTTGAAATTCTGAAGATGTTTGAATATATAATTCTTATCTCAATAGATGGAAATTTTGAAATCAAACTGTGGTCTTGAAATTCCAGATACCTAGGACTCGGCGGTCCTGCTGTGAATACATACTTTTGTGAACAGTAGGAAAAATTTGCATCTTAAATCTGCTTTAAAAATTCCAGAACACTTACCCGCTCAGGTTTCTCAGTCAGAAATGAGGAAGAAGTTGTGTATCTCAGAACCAGTTTCTCCCAAAGACTTAGGAGCTAAGTCAGGCCACAGAAAGATATTTGATTTTACTTAGCAACCTTAAACCTAAATACTTTCATGCAACTGGCTATGCCAGCCAAAATAGGAGCTCACTGACGGGATTGATTCAGGTTGTGCAAGATTTGGGTTTAAATTCAGTTCCTTCCTGTCTTATTCGAATTTCATCACTGATTTCCTAAGTGACTTCTGATCTATGGTTTCAGTTTTTTCAGCATCTCATGGTAAAACTGATAGAATCAGCAAGGGAGTACAGCTCTCCATCTGGGTAGTGTAAGTGGTTATGGTCAAGATGGGACACCTAGATTACTGTCAGCCTAGAATAAAACACTGGCAGTAGTAAAAGTGTTTACCTGAGTAACACGATATTTAGGAATAAGGAGTGGAACTCATCTTCTGCACTTTTTAGCAATGATATAACCACTGAATACTTTGGTAAAGTTAGGGGAAGGAGAAATACCAGCAGCCTTTTGAAAAGCCTGTTCTTCAGTATTTGTCATCTAGCAACACCTATTGCATCATGTTCTGCAAGTGACATGACTATGAATCCTAACAATTTAGTAACCGGGCAGGTGTCAGGTGGTTTGGGCTATCTGCTCAGTAGTGTAAGGGATTAGGGAGTTCTAGGTGTGTCCCAAAGTACACCTAGAAGACCCAGAGTAGTTTACCTTTAGATTGACAAATGGAGGATCCACAAGTGATAATCCAGGGTATTACAGACCCATCAGTCTTACTTCAATCCCTGGGAAAGTTATGGAACGAATCCTCCTGGAGGCTATCACAAGTCAGATGAAGCACATGATTGGGAAAAAAACCCATGGATTCACCAAAGGCAAATCATGCTTGACAAATCTGACTATTGCCTGTAACAAAGTAACCTGTTCGATCAATGTGGGGTGAGCAGTGGGCATAGCCTACCTGGATTTCTCCAAGGCTTTCAATACGATTTCCCAGAGTCTCCTCCTGGAGAAACTGATGTGTTACAATCACCCTCTGTCTTTCTACAGGGTTATGAGTTTGCTTTCTGAAAACATTATATCCTTACTCTCTACTACATAAATACCTCTGTCTTTTGTGAGCTACAAACTTGTCTTGTTTCTTTAGAGGATCAAAAATGAGGCTTTTTAGCAATCCCAAATGAGTTCTAGTGTTATTTCCTTGAAAAAAAACTTGTGGATGAGAACAACAAAACCATATTGAAGACATGCTCATTTTCTGCATGTGCCCCTGGAGTCTACTGCCCAAGAACAAGGAACAGTAAAGTGTTTCTAAAAGCTTGTAGAATACTGATGTTTAATGTAATATTAATAACACAGTTACTGCCTTCTGAAAAATTAAAAATTAAAAAATGTATGTAGGGTGCTGAATGCAAGAGCAATGTGAAAATTATGTAGTTCACAATTGTTAAATTTTTGTGACAAAGAATCTAATTAAGATTTAGCCTAAAGTGAAATTCTTACAATAAAGGGAGAATTAGATTTATCATTAAACGGCAGTTTATGATCCTAAACCACAATATAGCAATCTATCTATGTACATTCAGGAAAACCTCATTATGTGAAAATTTGGTTATGCTCATGTATTTACATGTGCATTTTCAAAAAGCTGCTAACAGTTTATTGAAATTATTATTATGTGAACAGTAGTCAACTGTTTCCAGTGGATCTAAAAATTGAAAATGTTGGGAATATTTAAAATATGTCTCTACAACAGAATTCTCCAGTATTCCCAACTAAGGTGAGAAGCATGTGCAAATTGGAAAAGCATACTGAATTTAATAACAATATGGAGTGTGTATTTTGTGTTTAAGTGACAGCATTTTTAAACTGGAAAGGAGCATGACAGATTGATGGTAAGAAATTTAACATTTTTGAGTGAAAATACACACCTCTTTTTTGTCTTTCTGTTCAAGAGACTGGGTGCTGTGAGGCCACAGAATGTACTCAAGCTCTCCACAGAAGAAGGAAAGCTTGGTAAGGAAGGATCCAGACACATTTGTCCTTGATGTTTCATTAATATCTTTGAAAACAGAATGGAAAGAGTTCTCATGAAATCTGCCCTTGACCCTGAGCTGAGACAGAAGTGAGAATACTGCAGAACTGGAAATCAGAGTTTCCCAACAACCAAAAAATTATAAGGGAAAAAAGTAAATGTAATCCAATTCAAAGGAAAAAGGAAAAAAAATAAATGTAATCCAATTCAAAGAAAAAAAGGTCCAAATTCTGGACAATCAATGACAATATCAGAAACAAGAATGATAAAACAAGTAAATGATGGTGAGGAAAAGGATCTAAGGATCCTTGAAAATCTAGTCTCTCCTAGAACAGATTGGCCATGGGTTAACAGAACCACGTTACTATCAAGACAGCAAAGAAATGAGGTAGGACTCAAAGCACATTAAATAGACTCCATACATAATGTAAGCCTGCTCTGCCCAAGGTTGTCAGACCTCTGCTAGAGCTCTGTGTCTGGATGCATGTTAACTGAGAATCCAACACAGACCACCAATGACATGCTGAGATCTAACAAACCTCTACCTCTTCTCTCTGCCTCTGAGAAGGAACTGAAGGGCCTGGGGCTGTTTAATCTTGGCAAAATAAGATTCAGCAGCAAAATGTTACTAGTTTACAAGTGTTTAAAATGTCAGTTGCAAAGAATTTTTTCACAATGCCCCGTGTTGAATTAGACAAGATATTATAGCTAATAATCTAGCTGAATCAATATGAAAATTTTTCTAACTTACAAGATCAGTGAAGACTTGTATGGTTGAGAAGGGGAATATGGGGAATATTCCTCATTGTCTATTTTTAAGGACTTCCATCAGTAGTACTGTAGGCACAGCTAGTACTGTCCTGAAGTGGAAGGATGGAATCTCTTGGGGTCACTTCCAGTTCCAATTTTGCAAATATCTGAAACTGTTAGGAATAATGACTATCACACAGGCTTAGCTTAGAACACAAGCTAAAAATAATCCATCCTTGGTTCTTTGAAGCCTGGGGTGTTTTAGACTTGCATTTTTATATTTCTGTGTTTAGTCTGAAATTCTCAAGTGATTACAGATCCCCTGAAAATGGAGGGCTGCCAGGGAAAAATGTTGCATGACTTGTGAAAAATTCCTACGATCAGCCTGCACAAGGTGGAAAAGTAGTGCATACACTGTGGCTTTAGAAGGAGACTTCCTTTCACATTCAGCCAATAGATTTACTTTAAGTAATAAGCTCATTTTTCAAGGAAAGTTCTAGTTATAAGGAATGTCTGAAAAAGTAACAGAAAAATTAAATCTAATGTCTATCCCTTAAAGACATTTCTAAACACAGAAAAAAATAACTGTTTAGACTTATGCATACAAAGAGAATGATTTCACCTTGATGCATTTAGTTCCATATTAGAGATGTTTCTGTCACTTTACCTTCTGTAACTCAGATGACTAAAGTCATGGGTCCATATGCAGAGTTAATTGTGAAAAATTTCATAGAGCAATTCTGTCCAGTAGAAGAATCTCTGCATTCTCTACAAAGGAAGAGGTGCTTTCCTACAAACTAAAACTTCCAAGATTTGGAAGGTTAAAAAAATGGTGTAATCTACTCCAATATTTCAGATTTCTGCTATATGCAGTCCTCTGAATCAACAGATCCTGAAAAAAAAGAAAAGGGATTAATGCTGTGCACATGTAGTGACCCTTTTTTAACATGAAATAAGTAGATCAACTTGCAGGGAATGTGATTATCCATGGATGAATTAACTATCTAAGCAAGTCTGAATCAACATACCATCACATTTGAGACGTATGTTAAATGTTTCAGAGAGATGTGGTACATATGAAGCAATAAAAACAGTGTTATTTTGGTTTTAGGCAAGAAAATACCACTGTACTTCTGAACACAATCATGTTAATTTCTAATGAAAAACTTATTTAGACAAGAGTCCTATTTTTAGAGTACTGGCTTAATGGGGAAAGAAGCTAATGAGTTTGATAAGAGAAATTATTTTTGAGCTCTATGAGTTCATCTATCCATCTACTGAATACCTGCCTTCATTAGTTGATTCATTTTATGCATTCATTTTATCCTTACCTACTGAAAGGGCCCTCAGCATTTCACTGTCATTTAGAAATTTTGTCCTAGCATTGGCCATTCTCATACGGAGAAATTTGTTCCCAATTTATAAAGGATGAACGCTGACAAAAGCAATGAACTTAGTAGAGTACACCATCCAAGATGACAAAGACAGTCTGTATCAGAACACAATATAGTAGTATACATCTTTCCAAATTATTTTAGTTAGAATCCAAAACTTCTACAGATGAACATGAGCAAAACTGTTCCTAACAATGTGAAAGTACAGTATGTTAACAAATGCAATTGAATGTTGACCTATGCAGTGATTAATGCAAATTGGAATGAATAATTTAATATATAATGTGAGCATTTTCCTAATGCAAGAAGTGGGACTTGATGAAGTTCAAAGGAGAAGCAGATTAAAATTGGTCAAAAGTATTATTTAACATGATTAATATCTAATCAGACCTGCTCACTCTTGCAAGAAATAAAGACCAAGAAATGAGTAGAATTTTAAAACTAATTATATGTTACACTTGCTCAACTAAACATATATATATATATATGTCTGTATATGCAAATAAGCTCCCTATTGACAATATTTTGGGGAATCCCATATCCCATATCTATGCCCCAACGGGTAGTCTGTTTACAGGTGTCTGAAACTTGGGCTAACTTTTGACTAGTGGATGCCACAGACTGAAACAGGCTGAGATAGACCTCTCATGTGAATTGACGCAGCTCTTACTTCCACTTGGTGGCAGTACTTACACCTTATAATCTACACATAACTTTTGGTGTTAATAAAGTCACCTCCTTTTTATATCCTTCTCCAGCTCCATATCACAGTGATTTTTTAAAAAATAAGTTTACAGACATTACCTTTTCTAAATTGTTGCAGAAATACAGTATGATACCATCTCCTGATGGATTTGGTACCTAACATAATGACATTTTTCTTTCATTTTCTATTATTGAACATGCATGATAAATAAGGATAAAAAATGATTACTGTGAGAGTAATTGTACTGCAAATCGTATTTTAGTTTAAGACCTAACACATTCAAAATTTTATGTGGCTTGTCTTTCTTGCTTGATTCCCAAGAACATATTTCAGATTGGCATTTCAGATTGATGGCTGTTGAAAACGTGGAACAAGTTAGCAAGGCGGTATTCATATATTTTTTTCCTTAATTTCAAGGGGCTTATATGTATTTGTCATATTTGTCAATATTCTTAGTTGTCTTGTGTTTTAAATACTGAGCAAGTCCTGGGAATTAAACAGTATCATTGTTATTGAACATAAAAAGTTGTATAATTGTCAGTGCTGGTATATCAGTGTGCTCTCCTGCACGGTAGGAGGTTGCTCAGATAGATCTTTCCTTGAATAGGGAAGGTGGTTCCTATGCTTCTCAAGGTTAGTCTTCAAGTTTGAGAGAATCCTTATCACATCAGAGACTTGGTAAGTAAATTGGGATCAAGCATGATGAAACTTTGAATTCTTAGCTAAGCAATATAAAGGACTGATTGTCTGGAATTAAGTCTGGATTGAGCCACACTTAAACTCCTCTCTGAGAAGGAGTTTAGAAAGCAATAGGATCTCTTCTGAACCTCATGACTCAGCAGAAGGATCTCCCTGAGACTTTTGTCTGTCTCTCCTCTGTGCAATAGATAATCAAGTGTACCTCGCCATCGAATCCTGTTAAAAGACTGTTGCATTTGCCATTGAACTTTGTTATATCATTAAAGTTTATTATTGTGTCTCTCTTGTGAGTGAAGTGCACAACTCAATCTGCAGCAGTTGCAGATTTAGATAGATTTAAATGTTAATTTGCTGTGAATATCCATCTACCTTGTAAGTAGCAGGGAAAAAACCTTCCAAATTGTATCAACAAAAGAGGGAAAGTGGAGGTTGAGTCCACAATTTGAGATGAAAGTCCATGAGATATAAGAAATCATCAGAAAATATGTCCCCCACACTTGTTGGCAATGCAGTTACTTGCATCAGGTTGCAAGCTGTGGTTTCTACACACTCCCACCTTCAGATCCACAGCCTGATGCAGTACCACTCATTCAAGCATGTTCCATGCTTCTCTATAGTATAGGCCAATTTCTGCTTAGTTTTCCACTGAAGAGGTTTAGCGAGTGACCCACTTTATGATATTCCACTGTAAGAATTCCTTTGTGTATATCTTCTTCAATATGTCCCAGATGGTTTAGTATAAGAACATGGTAGAAGGCGATGGGAGCAGATGTGACCTAGAAAACTTCCAAATCAAGTAAATGGATAAATACATTTGCTTGTGTTATTTATTTATTCTCTTGTTGACTTAGAAAAGCTAATCAAAATAGCAGTAGTTGCAAGTATTGCTTTGTGGCTAATGGAATTGGTAAAAGATTCTCTGGAAAAGGAAAATGCTGCTTAGGAAAGAACATACATTTCAGAATACTTCAGCATCTTCTCCTTTAGTGTCTTATTGCTCAGACATTGAATATCTGCACCCTTCAGAGATGTAGGCAAAGAAAATCTCATGATTAATGTGAATGCCTTTGCTACTACTGGCGTTTTCCATTATCTGATATCAAAAGTCATTTCCATGCTCAGTCTACTGTGTTACTTAGCCTCTGCCTTCCTCATGAGTACACTGGAGACTTTACACTGACCCAGATGGGAGCAACTAGATCTCTTATGACAAACATTTAAAAAAATTGTGTTTTACTGCCTGAACAGTACAACTGTGTGTCATTAGAACGTGGACAGGTGCATGTTCTATAGGCAAAGTGAGTTACCCACCAAACATCAGCGGTCTAAGGGCTGTCCACTGCTAACCATTGTGTCTGATTTATAGCTACCTGCACTGTGCAGTAAAAGAAGTGGCTTGCCTCCCAGAAGTACAGAGAAAAGGGTCCATTAGCCTAGTGTCTGAATTTTCAGACAGTTGCATTTAAAGAAATCCACTATCCACTTTCATGACAATTAATATTCAATACATTTTTTTTTCTTTTTTTGACAGCACGGACATTTTCTGGGAAATACACCAAGCTCTTTCTGACCTGTGTGTTGTGGGTTGTTGTGAAAAAAGCCTGGCATTCCTTAAATTACTTATTTTTTTTTTAATTCAATGACTGAAATTACTAGTTTTAAATAAGGTCTTTGTCTTTGCATAGTGTGATTTTTTAAAAAAATCAATAGAACATCTAGTGGCACTGCAATGTTTTAACAGCAAATACTGTGAATAAATCTTTAACACAGCGAAAATCTGCTGTATTGGTGACAGTTTTAATTCCATGATTAGATTGCTAGGAACATTAGCTGTTGGAGAAACTCAGTTTTGACTCCAACAGTTTAGTGGTAAATGTGTCTTAACAGTGAGAGGCAAACTGAAATACTTTCTCAGAAAAACAAATGTCTTGAAGCATGACTCACAAGAGCACAAGTGGGAGTTAGAACTTTTAACCTTTGTAGTGCTGCTGTGACTCCAAAAGGGCAGCTGAAAGCTCTTTGGTGAAAATTATTTTGGACATCTTGATAGAGTTTTTATAATGGTTTAAAGTAATTTAAAATGGCTGTGTTGCTGTTGCACACAGCATAAGGGGAAGAAAAAGATGTGATTTTGGCAGTTGCCCGATTTGGAGAATAAAAGCCATTGCAGTACCCTTTCGTTTTGAGCTAATGCTGAACAGAAGACCTCATTGATCAGTTTGACTCATGTTGTCTTTACATTCTTTGCTGCAAAGAAGTGTACACCTGGCTTTATAACACTTGATAAGCTTTATTTTTATCACCCTAGGATATCACCCTGTCCTGTCCAACTTGACAACATGTTTTAGTGGGATATTTCTGAGACTTAAGGGAAGGAAGTACATTACAGCTTTCATAAAAAACTGTCTGGCAAGTTCCCACCCATATCCAAACTTTCTGTGTATCCTGCTATAAGAAATAGATTCATGCAAGAAACTTTAATTATCAATCCAAGATTTAAGAATTTGTAGATTGTTTTTCTTTTTAAGATTACTAGTAGGCATAGGTAAATACTGAAAGATAAGTATCCTATTTTCTCTTTATTTCTCCCTGAATTATGCCTCAACTCAAGATATACAAAGCTAAAAAAATTGTCCAATACAGAGGAGGCAGTGTGTCATCGCTGCAAGCAATATAGAATAGATTCTGGAAAAAGAGTGACAATCAAAGTTTTGACCAGACTCTTAGGGATCAGGAGTAAAATAAAGAGTCTCAAATGACATGCTTCACATGCTTCTACATATATTACATGATGAAAACATTTTAAGATCTGGAGAAATCAGTTTCCACTTTTATTTCCTTGCTTAAGGCTAAGCCATGTTGTGCTCTTTGTAGTTAAGGGATGGAGGCAGGCTTTTTTTCAATGAGCTGGGACTTTTGAGAGGTGTCTGTTGTCTTCACAACACCTTGATGCCATCAGGAATACTCTATGGTATGTGGATTCTTGAGCTATGTGGCTCTCTAGTTCTGCCTATAACACCATTGAAGCCACTGCTAATAAGCAGGACTGAGAATGCACCCTTATTTCACTTTTATATCATCAGTAACAGGACAATCTGAGGCACACAGATTCAAGAAAGAAATCTATTGTGTAGTTTCGGTTTGTGACAACATTCAAGGACTGAGAACAAATTCTTTGCATTCCACTGAATGTCTCAAGACTTGCTCAGAAAAACAGAACTTCATTCTTTTACTAAGCTTGCAAGAAGGCTTAAGTAATATAGATTGGCAGATAATTCTGCTAAATATAAAGATCTATGAATGCGTGATTTACAGGCATCACCTGGTTATTTTGTTGACCTGTAAAACCATATACAGTGATGAAATAGGTGTGTACCATTGCAGCGTTCACAGAATTTCTACTTCAAATGCTACCACTAAATAACACTGATCAACAGTCCACAACAAATTCATCAGCTGCATTTAAGAACTTAAAAGTAACAATTATAATATGCTGAAGTAAGAGAACAAGAGAAATCAGAGGTACCACATCGCCACTTGATCGTAGAAGTGACTGTGGTCAAATTAAAGAGGAAAAAAACCCTTTGATGACCCCTGGTAATTTGACTTAGAAAAAAGCCCTCGCCTGACCCTAAGTCTGCAGAGTGGCTTAATTCTGAAAATCACAACAGGGGACATACATCGACTGAATGAATGCAAAGCGTTTGCAACATTGGCAAACTCCCTCTACGCTGCATAGCTGTGGTCAGTCTCCAGAGCTTCTGAGAGAGAGAAAACTAATCTACAGAAAATGACCTATGCACTAAAGGCAGAGAAGAGTAAATCCTGTCTAGCCATTGAAGAAGAGTAGCATTAACCTTGAAACATGGGATATAATATAAAACATAGGACAGATAAAACACCTTTTTTCAGTCCTGCTTGGCTGCATTAGCACTACTGAAATCCAAGGTTTCAGTGTGTCTGTCACTAACCATGTACACACAGCATCATTGTGACAGAACTCCTCCCAAAAGCTGTCTGTTCTGCACTGATGTTGTTCTCTCACGATGGATTGCTCTGAGTAGACAATGGCTTGAGCCCCAGGTACCAAACAGTTACCTTAGAGAAGTGATGGTGGGCTGGGAAGAGCACCCTGAAGATTCCGGAAAATGTTTCCACCTCTACAGCTCCCTGGACATGGTAACACCCAGGGGTCTGCTACTCTCACAGGTAGTTAAAACAAGGATTGAGTGCACAGCAATATAAATCAAGTTCCCTTGCCAGGAGTAGTCCATAACTGGAAATCTGTGGATGTCTCTTTGTAGCTGATGTGGCTCAAGCACAGGATTAAAATTTCTCCCCCAAAATGAGGTAGATATAATAATGTGCTAATTTTTTGATCAAAGGTTTAAGAAGAGAAATAAATAATAGATATATAAATTAAATGGCAGAGGGCTCTGAACAGCTATAACTTTTGAAGAAGGTGTATTACTGTGTTGCTAATGCCCATTTCCTCCCCGCCCCAAATTGTATTGGCATTTTTTCTGAAACAATCAATCTTATAAATGACTGAACTCTCTAGTTACTCGTTATTTTCACTCTGTTCACTTCTGATTGAATGTCGTAGGCACAGATCCATAGTGAACTTCAGTGCAGTCTTTCTTACGTACCTCCTTCAGCATCATGTTTGAATCCCAGCACTATGATCTGAGCTGAGCCATAGAGCCCGACTGCTCTTACGGTGAACATTAGGCTACAGTCTTCTTTTGCCAGCCAAGATAATTCAACCAGTCCAGCTGGGTTTAGCACCTGTTATCCATTTTCCTCCAGGAACTGAACACTGGCCTGATTAGACTCGCTTGAAAAGGCAGCATTGTCAAAACACCAGCCGTGTCAGTTGCCATCAGAAAGATTGCCTCAGGGTAAAATGGTTTAATGCAACAAATACCCCTAACCACGCATCTAGCCATGTGTTTCCCTACATTAGCTCAACATTTTATTTTATATGCTTCAGTTTATTTCCACTTCAGGCTGGAGAATTAGGCCTACTTGCTGCTATCCCAGTATGTGCGCTGGTTGTGTATCAGACACTGCTGACAGCATGCTTGCATGTTACTTTTTTCCTTCCTGAGGCTAGCACACTTAATACTAAACAGTGCATCATAAAAACACATACAATAACTACAGCTCTCCATGGATGAATTCCAGCTGGTTATTTTTGTTGGTTTTCTTATGGTTTAGTATTAAGTCTGGGTTTGCTCCCAGATGTAGATGGAACAGCCAGTTGCTTTCGGCAACAAGTTATTGGCAGAAAGGAGAGATGGGAGAGAGATCAGTAAAAACACTACAGTCAAAGTTCCCTCTAGTCGGTGCCACCAATGCCAGCTGGTGAACTGCACTACTCTGAATTTTGACACTCCAAATGTCCTGAACAGTGGTCCAGCCACTGTCTTAACTCTTTTGAAGTAATTTATTACACTCGTCTTAACTTTATTTCTGTTTTATTTCTGGACATTTTTTTCCTTTCCAGTCTCCTTTAACTCTGTTGCATATATTTCTAACATGAAGCACTAAACAGAGGTATGCCTCATTACAGGAACTTCCAACCTTTCTTGTGGCATCTAGAGGCTGAGGAAGTGGCTGGAAACAAACTATATATATGATATATATATGCATATATATATATATATATATGTCTGTGTATGTGTGTTATATATATGTTAACTATAATTATGCCCTAGCAGCATGATGTCCTGCAAGCTTAATCTGAAACATATTTATCTGGAATGGGGATTTTTTTATTAGAGAGAAAAATGCCATTAACTGAATGACAGTTTAATTGCTTTCTGAAGCATTTTCATTAAAATTCTCCACTCTAAATGTCAGTTAAGCAGAACTCTCT